CCCCCATAATGTTTTAGAAAATGCTTATAATGTGCCAGGTATGAATTAATCATTAATAATTAATGTATTTAAAAATTCATTTAGATAGTAATTATAATGCAAATTACTTGGTAGGTGCCCATGCTATACCGAACTGGGACCTGGAGCACTATTTACCTAATTGCTGGACACAATTAACATCGTGGAATCAACAGTATAATTTAATCCTATTGCCTATTGCCCGTTGGTGATTCATATGAGCTAGGTAACATTTGTTGCGCTCACATTGGAAAGCTATATAATCATTAATATGCAGTTGGCATTGGGAACTACACTACTGTCTAACTGAAAGTTAATATAATTTGTAAAATTATTTAATATATTCATTTTTGTATATTATAAATAAATCTTAAGCCATATTGTGTAATAAAATTGATTTTATAACATATATTTTAATTAAACAATTATTTTGAAAGTCATATTATATCACAAAATAATTAGTGACTTTAGAAAAAATATTTTTATTTGTATTACAGAATATAACTGATAATACCACACCGGTATGGCATCTATGGTATACACACTTGTTGAACTAAAACATTAAATAATTTTTTCATTTAAAAGTTAATATTTTTAATTAAATTAAATTGGATGTTATATGAATTGACAATAATGAATGTAATTTAATTGAAATGAATGGCACACCTGTGATTATCATAGCTGTATAACTGAACCGGAATTTCTTATTTGAAATGTTATGTTTAATACAATAAACCCATATACCCGAGCGTATATACGCTAGTTTGTGGAAGTCAACAGGTTTCATACATTGTCCAACATGGGGCGAGTGGGTAAATTTTTGACAAAATTGTTGCGTACGTATTTTGTGAACGCCGCTTTACAATATTTCTACATAAATTATACAAAAGAATAAAATTGTGAATTTAATCAATTCGATAAATATATTTTTTAAATGTTTATAGTAATTTAAATACTCTAGATAAAATAAAAATGTTATTATTTAAATATGTAATATAAGTATTGAAAATGTTTAAAAAATTAATTTTATAAATATAATATTATTAATTTTATAAATATTATATTATTAATGTTATAGTTTGAAATATGAATACCTAATAACACTTGTTAATATATTGATTCCAAATAAATTATATGATTACATTAAATTAAATAGAAATATAATATTTTTGTAAACATACATTTCAACATAAAGGTTATGAGTAATTTCAATTGAAATTTCATATTTATGAAAATCGTAATTATCTATAATATTATTTTTATTAATGGTTTATAAATTAAATTCTAAGAAAATGCAGTTATTTAAGCGAAAATAATCTGTAAATTTAATTTAGATTGTAGCTAAAATTATTTAAAAATATATCACCCAGAATTAGGTTTTATTTTCAGGTTAACTTAGTAATTCATGATAAAGCATCAATTTAAATTATATATTTTAAACAACCTATAAAAGCCACTGGCATGCAAAACTTACTACCAGTATTATTTTACTAGTTATTCAAACAATTAACTAGTTTAAATTAAGAAAATGAATATTTTTATAGTCCTAGTGTTGGTGCCAATTGTTTTGGCATTACCTTACCAGGGTATGATTTATTTTTTGCATATAATAAGAAAATACTATTTATTTCAATGGAATTCATGTAATATTTTTAAAATTGCAAAATAAACAGAAACCAATGGCCAAGGTCAGTTTGCCAAACGTGAACTAGATAACCCCGAACTCCCTATGTTTGGTGTCGATAAAGGTATTGATATTAAAATACTATTTATTTCAATTGAATTCATGTAATATTTTTAAAATTGCAAAATAAACAGAAACCAATGGCCAAGGTCAGTTTGCCAAACGTTAGCCATGCAAACACCTATTGCTACACCAATATATATTTTCAATTACTCTTTATTCATTAATTAATTCTAAATAATGTTTATTTGAATTGTATAGAAATAAGTTAACATGAACAGTTAAACTTATAATATGGATAAATCAACCTGATATATTCTTTAAATAACTAATTTAATATTTTCAAAATTAATTTTAAAATTTAAAATATTTTACTTCTATAATATAAGACTAATTATAAAATAATAATTTTATATTCAAAAATTAATTGTTTTGCATTTTAAATAAATTATATATTTTCCGAGAATTATATAAATTGTGGTTTTATTTATATAAAATTAACATATATATTTTTATTAACTCAAAATAAGGTTATAAGATTAACCTAAATTTATAATAATTTTATTATAATGTAAATTTCTGTATGTTATTAGTGTAATCATACGCGGAATATTACTTTTATTATTGAAAATATATTTTATTTAACATTAATGGTATGTCAGATATAAAGTATTTGGTGTAAATTTGTTTAAATTTAAGATTTTCAAGCACTTTTTATAATAGTGATATTAAATTATTAACAAAAAATGTAATACAGTAGCAGTTAACTAAATATCCGTTATTTATGATTCAAATTGCATTAAAATTATTACGTTATAAAGTTTGTAAATTAGATCAAATTCATTGTATTTATAAACGAGCTTGTGCAATGATCGTAATATATTTTAGATTATAATCATCTGAATGTTTATCTCAATTACAATTTCTATGGGAATCACCGAAAAGACCTAAACCCGAAAATGTCTAAACTTGAATAACTAATTGACCAGTAGCTATTCTCACTGACCAGTTTGACAGGTCATAGATAGTGTGACCAGATGTCCATTTTTGCACTGGATTGTCCAGTTTTAAAACTTGGATTAATTCTAATATTGTCTCATTTCATCAAATTGTCCAGTTTTAAACAAAATATTGAAAAAATATCTGGTCACCCTAGTCATAGATGTAAATATTTTGAATTTCATCCTTTTTATCGACTCTAGCATTAGTTAGCTTTATATTTAAGCATATTTTGAAAATAAAAGCTATTAATGCCTTTTGCCAGTCAATTTTTAAAAATTAATAATTATATTTACTTTGAATATATATATATAATTAAAATAGAGTATACCTGTATACCAGACTTAACTAAGGAGTCAAATTGGGAGTCAAACTCTCACACGTTTTTAATATCCTTCAAATGTTTGGCTCACAAATATAGTACACATTAGTGTGAGTGAGAGATATAAAGTATTTAATGAAAATTATAAACTGTAATTTTATAATTCAGTATTTGTTTTAGTGTTTATATGTTAAAATATTGACTAACTGATCGAAATGTATCTGATTAGTTTCTATTCGTTAACTTTGTAAACATTTTAAAAACTATATTTCTCTACTCAAAATCTCTATAGAATTGTCTAGAAATCACACATTTACAGGTGACTTGAATATAGTAAAAATAGTAATGATATTTGTGTTTATAAAGAACTTTATCTACTGATAATATATACGAAATTCAAATCAAAATTATGAGGCACATATTTTTTATAAAAAACACATTTTAGTTGTCACTGCTGTATACAGTATCAATTAAACATTAACTTTTAAATAATATTTCTAATGAATTGTACAAATATTATAGAATAATACTATTTTCTATTTAATTTAATTTAAACATATGATTAACTAGAAATGCCAATATGTTAATGAATATTTTGTCATTTTTAATTATAATTCTTTACACATCTATTTCTAAAATAAAAGTACACAGATTCAGTTCATTTTATTTATAAAATTTCAATAGACATAATTTACTATGACTTTAATAAATTTTCTTTTCTTGAGATTGTACATTTTATACCAATGTTATTTATTAATTACTATATTCCAGATGCAGTATCAATGTAACCAAGATACTAATTCTACAACATGGGTAGTTTTGTTAGCAGGAGGTCAAAATATTACACATCTTGGATATAGTATGCAGGTAATTATGTGATTTTGAATTTGTTAGTTGGCACCACCAGTGTCACTTTAGCAGTATCGGCTCAAATAATACAAAACATGCCTTTCAATTCAGCTTTTATATTTCTGAAATAGTTTTTTACTACTATAACAAAAATATTAAAGCAAATTTGAAAGTTTAAATAATTATTCTTTATATATGAGGCGAGTGTTTATCGGGCGTATCACGTGATCCGTGCCCGGGGTATACCGTCTGACCACATAATAGTCATGCATTACGACAACATGGCGTACAATCCTAAGAACCCTAAACCCGGTGCTGTTATCAATGACGTGAACGGTACAGATGTTTACCACAACGTCCCTAAAGATTATACCGGCGATGATGTCGACCCACAGGTATACATGATTTTAATAGATTAAATGATTTACCTTGAACAATATTTATTATTTTAATTTAATTATTTTTAGATATTAATATCGATGTTGAAAGGTGATTCAAAATTAGAAAAACGTGGCAAAAAAGTTTTGAAAAGCGGTCCAAATGATCACGTGTTTATTT